ACCAAACATCTCCTTTGAGACATAACATTAATCACAATCAGATAACTGAAAACTGCACAGCCTGTGCTCATCCCTGTGACAGCTAGATGAGTTAATTGCAGGTTGGAGCAACCTGCCCATGTATTATTCTTTCTCCAGACGTGTCTCCCCACACATCTACAGTTGACTTCTCTGTGTTTGTAGAATAAGCAAGCCTAACTCAACCCATTGCTCTCCAGATGCATTGCAACTATACTTCCCAGAATTTTCAGAGGCCAGAACCAATGGCCATGCTGTCTTGGAATGTTGGGAATTAGTCCCAACACATCTGAAGGACTCCATGCTGAGGAAGACTGGAACAAGCCAGCATTTCAAGAACACAAAGAGTGGGATGGAGTGGGGCAGATTTAGCTCAAACATTCCATAGTAAGGGTGGATGAAGTGTAAGCCCCTCATATATTATAGCACTGCCAATGCTATCATTCTTCAGTATTGATTATACTGGCTACTAGGACTGAGGAGAATTTGAAAATGTCTGGTGGAATCCTCCAGATATGAGAAAAACTCTTTCCTAATGTAAACTTAGCTCTCTTTTTCCAGAGAACCCTATTTAGTCTGTTTGGCATATGACTTAAAAATTAACAACTTTACCAAAATGTATGGCAATACAGTGCAAATAACTTCCAGCTGTCTAAAGTTGGAAGCTCTGACAGGCATAAGATTAGAATTTCAGTAAAGCTTTACCAAGAAATGATGACAGAATTATGAAAGCTGAACTAGAGAACCAGGATGGAGGCTGCTAAGTAATGCTGAACTGAAACTGCAATGAATGATATTCTTGATGGAAAGTGAGACTGACACGAAACTGCTAGGGAATGTTTGCCTTTCTATTGCTTAGATCAACTTATGGAGAGACTGCTTTGTTTCAGAAAAAGAGATTGCAGATGTTTTCCTCCAAAAATAAGTTATGAGAATTCTGTTTTAAAAATAGCTTATCAACAACTTCCTTCTGGAACTATGTACAGCAGGTGGAATATATAAAGCTGATCATACATGATTTTAATTACTCTCAGGTCCCCTTTTCCATATGGGAATTCAGAAAAAGACCCTATTAGCAAGTTCATAATGTTTAATGACTTAATACGAAGGTACCCAGAGAATTATTCTAGGGGCCTTTTACTCAATCAGTAAGGAACAACTCTGGTTTTCAAATAGGTTTCTTAGACAGGCTTGAGTCTTTCAAAACTGCTGTTGCAGCTGTTGGGGGGGATTAATGAGGTGTTCAGGTTTAGATCTGATAGGTCCTTTGGTCAATCACATATGTACACAACATGCCCAAACAAACTTGTCTCGCCTTGTAGTCTCTTTCACATCAACTTGAACTAATTTATTCTTGGAAAACCATGAATTCCAGAGAGTTTAAATGTACATGTCTCTGCCTGAGGTGTCATTCACACGTCCACATTGAGTTAATCCTTCATCTAGGATGCCTCACAGATTCTTAGTACAATATGAAACAAGATTTTTTCCCCTAATTATGTACCTATTCTTGTATAATTTAAACATTAGGAGTTTTTTGTATAAAGATTCAACTGAACAAGAAAGCAAGGAATATATGATAAATTTCTGTACAGAAAAAGCAGATTCCTATTGACCTTTTGGTCTTTTGTGGGATATCTTCAAAGAAGCATTGAGGTGGAGGGTTGTTGTTGTTTTTGCTTCATCTCTGAAACAGCTAGACCTAAAAACCAAAAGGGGGTACAAAGACAATTAACAGGCTAACAAATTAACACTCCAACTTGCAAACAAGTCACTGGCTTGCAAAATGGCTGAATTTTAATCTCTTAAAATGAATAAAACCCACATCTTCTTCATTTACATGCATAGGAAATACTCCAAACTAGGAGTTAACTCCTCCAGGATGCTGGTCATGTTTTAAAGCAAACAGAACAAAACAGACGTTTAATTGAATACAGTACGTTAGGAGTAGGATAGGCTCTATTTTAATCTGGCAGTAATGAAAGCTTTAAAATAATGTTATCTTTTACTGTATAAATGAAGCAAACCCATTACTATATGAGTGTCTCTAAATCTGAGTTTGAGTATGAATACCGATTCCAGTGGGGAAGACTAGGTTTTGCCACAAAAGATGACCTCCAACCTGGAAGGGGAAAAGCTATGATATTTTACAGCTAGAGGCAGAAGCTGTAGGACCAAGGGTAGAAAGAAGTGGGATTAACATCTCTCCACAGCCTCAGCATTAACTGGCTGGCATTTCTTCTTCATTCATTACACAAAGAAAGACCACTTAGAGTAAGATGCACCTTTCAAGGACACCTGGCAGCACCCATTCCAACTACCAAGGATGTAAAAGAAGGCTGCATACTGGCACCTCTCTTATTTAATTTTTATATAAATGATGTAGTAGATCAGCTGAAAAACCCGAACTTCCATCCATCCAAACTAGCAAAAGAGACATATTATTATACTGCTATATGCAGATGATGCAGTAATCCTCTCAAGGGCACCCATTGGACCCAAGAGACCTTTTAACACCTTTGCACATCATTGTAAAGAGAACCAGCTAGAAATCAACTACTCTAAAACGAAAATAATGGCATTCACAAATTGGTCCAAAAAGTGCTCCTGGATGATTAACAACCACATAATTGAGCAAATGCAATGTTTTTGATACTTGGGGGTAAACTTCCAGGCTAATGGAAATAAAAGGGCCCATGCTTCACAAAATGCCCATAGGAGAGCAGCAGCTATTTTAAGATTTCACCATTCCAGAGGAGGTCAAAATATACCTGCATCCACTAAGTTCTTTGAGGTCAAGCCCCTAGTTCAATTACTCCATGGCACACAACATGGACCACTCCACAACCTTGCACCACTGGGAGTTGTTCAACCTAAATTTTTAAGAGCAATTTTCCAAGTTCCTCACTGTGTCCCTAATGTTTTACTACACATGGAGGCTGGAATGGTGAAAGTGGAGATTAGAATACGACAAGCTGTGTTACACTACAGGCTGAAGTTGACACTTTTCCCTGTAGGCTTAGTTCTACTGACATTAGAGGACAGATTTCAAAGCAGGTGGAAACAAGCAGTTTACAACAAGCTCTCTTTCCTAGGACTTTCCCTCACTTACTTATATTTTTGGGCTATGAGCGAGCAAGGGCCAGACCTAAGCAATGTTTGTTTGACATAGGCTGTCAAATGGATGCTGGTAATACCACTCAGCTTCCCATGGCAGATACCCTGAGATACACTCTGGCCCCAGCTATGTATCTCACACAGCTTAACATCCTGACTCAGAGAAGGGCCTTCACTTTAGTTCGATTTGATGCTCTCCCTTCAGCACTTCTGGCTGGAAGATACAAAAAGATGCCATATCCATTACAAGTATGTCCCTGTGACTCAAGACAGGTCGAAACTATCGAACATGTTCTTCTGGATTGCCAGATTTATACAGAACCTCAAAATGCTCTAATTACCCCATCCCTGACCAGCAAAACAGGATTCACCAGCCAATAGTATAAGCAAATTCTACTTTCTGACATCAACTCTGAAATAACTCACAAAGTTGTCGGGCTTTGCATGGCAGCATGCAAAATCAAGCAGATTGAACTTGCCTGAGTGTGGATAGCCAGAAATGGCTCAGTCTCAGCATTAACCATGGGTTACTTTTTAATGTATTCTTTTAGGCTTTGGTGTGTACAGGCCATGTCAGCTATTGTATCAGTGTTTCTCAACCTTTGCAACTTTAGGAAGTGTGGACTTCAATTCCCAGAATTCTTTAGCCAGCATGGCTGGCTGAGGAATTCTGGGAGTTGAAGTCCACACATCTCAAAATGGCAAAGGTTGAGAAACACTGTATTGTACTATATCTTCTGAGGTTTGACGGGGATCTGAAAGAGAAGTTTATAATCGTCATATCCCTTTTGGATAATTGTATTGTTTTATCTACCAATATTCTTTTGTATTTTGTGTTTTATATTGCTATTTCAAAGTTTATACTACTGTATCAGAATTGCTCATTTTAATCCCTTTTCTCTTTTGTCACACATGTGTAGCCTGAGCAAGTATCTTAGCATTTTTTTGATTTAATATTGTCTTTTAGCCAAATTTTTTGTTTGAATGTACCTTTCCTAATTACCTTGATATTGTCAATTTAGTTTTGGATATTTGAATGACAATTCCCTTGTGCTGGTTAATGACTGCAATAAAGTCTTTTGTTTCATTTTGATAAAGAAAAAGGAGAATAACCACTTCAAGAGCCTTGTTTATTTCTGTAAAAATAGGTAAAAGATTTTAGCCAGGAATCAGTTAGACATTTATTTTGCTGTGTGTATATCAGAAGCCTTATTCTCTTATTCTGATTTCTCTGCGTAAGTAAGGCAGTATGTATAATGTCAGCATGAACTCAAGATTTATTTTTTTCTTTATTAGTTTTCTTGGAAGCTGATATAAAATGTGAAAGCTATTTCTCTCCTGAGGTTGCTAATTATCTGCCAAGAGTATTGTATGTATTCTTGCAAATCATATAACCTATCTGAGGTGTTTTTTTAAAGTTTGATTTTATTTTTTGTGAGTTTAATTTATCTCCCAAAAGGGGGAGGAAGAGGTGAAACCATTAGTTTCAAAAGCTTGAATCATACTTCTCTAAGTCAACCTTGCAAGGCAGATGGGGGATAGAGGAAGAAGAGAGATCCCATCATTAGTTATAAATGGGGCTCAACATTCAAAGGTATTTCATTTGCTACAGAAACCAGAATGCTATCACAAAATGTGTTCACGTGCATGTTTGTATAGAGAGAGAAAGAAAAGAGACTGTATTTCTGTCCTGCTTATTGGTGAATTCTCTGAGCACAGGAAGCAAAAATTAAAGGAAAGTGTCATCAACCATTTCAATTATTATATTTTTAAAAGACCAAACTAAAATAAGTATTTCACCATTAAAATAATTTAATTAGTTGCACATCAGTTGTACAAAAATATTTTGACAGTGTTCCATAATTGTTCAATAAATATATAAATAAGTCTTAAAAGACCATCTCTCTTATGAATGTGAAACTCCCATCTGTGTGCTTATGGAATGTGAAACTTCCAGATGCCTCTTCTCAGTGAAGAGTTTTTAAGTTAAAAAATCTCTAAACTATTCTATAACCATTCTTTCAAATACCTAGTTTCCTCAACATAAACATTATAATTTTAAATTTTTATCAGGCACAAACATTTTCTAGTATAATAAATAATACTTCATATATGCTTATATTAATAAATAATAAGTTAGAAACCACTGAAAATAATGCACATTTGTGAATATAATAGGCCTTTCCACCAATGCTTGGCACAGGTGACATGATTCTCTGCCCCTCAGCCTCCCAACAATCCCATGAAGCAGAAAGGCTGAGAGTGACTAGATAAAAACATCTCAGGAGTTTCATGGCCAAACTGGGATTTCAGCCTGGATCTCCTGAGACTGGCACTCTAACCTGATTCTCACAATAGGCAGCCTAAGGCTGGCTCTGATTCAGCCATACTTATGCAAATCTATTGGTTTCCCTGTGCCCAAGGGCAACAGGATCTATTGCCAATTTGTGTTACTGTCATAGTAACCTATTTAACCACCACGGTGCTTCCATTTGAACTGCATTTAGCAATACATTTTGCTTTCCAAATCTTTCTTGCTATCTCACCTTTGCATCAGGGCATTTCTTCTATGCATATGATACATATATTTCTAAAGACTTTCTCTGACTGAAGTTGTACAATAAATACATTTTCAAAATTCCTTGATATAAAAGTCTCTTCTTAAAATGTAGGTTTGGTGGAAATGGCTCAGCTTCTTTCAAGGATCCCAATAGTGAGATAATCTGAAGCTTTTCTTACGACTCTGTCTCGGAGTTGGTCTCAGCCCTGGAGTAAAAGAAATGCAAGAAAAGATAAGAAAGAATGCAGAATTGTTTATACTGAGATATATGGCTTTAAAAACAATCATGTTCGCTTCATTAAGTTTCCAGAAGAAAATACTGACATGGAGTCATGCCGGTCTCTGCCCAGGTATGCCCAGTTTTAGACTCATTCCTTTATTAGTCTAACAGTGAGGCTTATCTCTGGCCAATTCAGTGAAAACTTGATGTGTTTTGACATCAGTTAAAACACAATCCTCCAGGAGATTCTCTTATACAAGGTCATGACAAAGCTGAAATTGCAATCCTATGCTTGCTTCCCCTTAAATAAGCTCTGTCTTTGATGGTACTTCTTTTGAATAAGCACACACAGAAAAATTGTACTCTTAAGATTCTTAAAATTAGAAGAAAATAAGCACTTACTTATCCAGAAAATGCTTGATGATTGCTTTCACCCATCCGGCCGTGGGTTCCAAGCATACTTGCCTGCCATTCTTAAGAACTGCACTGCAATGAATGAAAATCAGGAGGATCAAGCACTGAGTTTGCAGAAAGTTATTATCTGTCAGTTTGTCTGTTTGTTGATTTAGTTTATGAGGCTGGCATGCTTCTCCAATCATTCAAATCACATCAAGCATTTGGTTAAAATGGCTTGTAATGACCACAGTAACAACAGAACTTTAAGCAAGAGCAAAGCGTTCTAGTACTACTGATGCTAACAGTTCATAGTATTTTCTTAGTATTTTGACTTAAGTGGGAAAATCCAGAAGATCTGTGCACAAGCACTGCCTTTGTTTCAGTGGCGATTGGGCAGCAGAGCCTCCCGGTAGATTATGCCCTAAATCAACACACAGCACCAAATATGAAGTAGCAGAAGTGTACTTACATGACCTCAATGTTCTTACAGTGTGGCCCACTTCGGATCAACCTGACACTCTCAAAGAATTTAAAGGGGATGAATGTAGAATGGGTGCTTACACATTGGCACCGAAGTTCACTCCCTACCCGGGCCATGGAGGCTCCTAGAAAAAAAACAGGTATACAAAATGGTTAAATTTTCCTTATTATATATTTTTAAACTCTTTTTCAAAGGTTTGTTTTAAAATGATTTTCATTAGGTCTGATTCAGTCCCATTAAAAAAATCACCTCAACTGTCCCCAGAGTCATTAAGTTCATTATTCCTATCAGTGTTCTCTTGTCTGTTACTGTTGTAAAAAATTAATAGCATTTTGACTTAAAGAATGCAGAAAAAATATTTACATAACTATTGTGTTACTGGATGAGGCTATATGTCTACCTCTAATCAAACCTTTTACTTTCATTGTAACAATCATCCAGATCATTAAAAAGACATGATAAATGCAACTATTCCCCATTAATATTTCCTAAGATCTAGTGCTCAAAGGTAGATCGCTTTGGATCTAGATGTGCCATTTATTGATGACACCTTCTGAGAGACCTGTCTTCCTAAATAAATTTATGCATAAGCTGTATTTAATACGTTTCACTTAAAAAGCTGATAAACCAAAAAAGAAAAAATACAAAACTCACTTCTATACAGTTTCCACCTGAGGTCAGCAGACCTCTGAGAATCTATTTAGTGTTTTAATTATTAAATAACAGCTTCAAAACAGTTTTTGCATCATAAGCCATTATTGTCCCTCCTGACAACAGTAAGCACAATGCAGTGCTTACGTTCCACAGAAAACTCTTTTATCCTCTCATACAAACTCTACCTACCTTCTGTCAGTGTTGCAGAGACCAAGAGAAGAGCCAGAAATGCAGCTACAGCCTTGGAGTCCATGACAAGACAGGGAATTACTTTCTTGGCTGGGATCCTGGAAAGCAGAACGGTGTTTTGCCGAAGAAGGTCTGCGTTTGACTGAACTCCACCGTTTCTCTGACTTATATAGTGAAGGACCTTGTCAGAGGAAATTCCCAGGACTTGTAAGGCACTATCTTAAAATGAGTCATTAGGAAATCTGGAAGCAAAGCAGCTTCCGAGTACAGCGATGACAACTTCTACTGGTTTACTTACTTCTACAAAAGTGCACTTCAGCAACTTTTAACTTTGGGTTCTTTTTAAAATCAATATGATGTTTGCATTTTCTAAAACAAATGCATTGCCTGAAGAGCAGTGCATTTTTCTGAACACCTGGAAAGCCTATATCACAAGGTTGGCTGTCAGAATCAGTTGAGTCTTCTGTACCCATATTTCAAACACAAAACATAATAAGAATTAAAACTGCCTAACGGAGGAACATATTTCTCCTCTAGACATGCAAACTATTAACCCATGCATCCCCTTTATCACTGCACTCTCTAAGAATCGGATGAAATAGTTTTATCTAGTTCGTGTCACTGAGTTCGGACACTAGTTCCTTAAACTTTATTTCAAAATATAAACCAGTTTCTTTACCCAAGATTTCTATTAAAATTACAATGGGATATTAGCATGCTTAGACATCATGTTTCTATAAGCTAGCTTTCCATGAATCCAGATGGGATCTGTTAATACATGCTTGAGAAATGGATTGGAAGAGTTCAACAGATTCATGCTTTATGCAATTAATTAACAACTAATTCTACTAATTCAAAAAAGGTACACTGCTAGGGGTCAGATTATGAGTAATCTGGTGCACAAATGGCTCCAAAGCAGTGATCCTATGCTATTGGTCATCTGACAGTTAATTCATGCAGATAATTTGGTTGCCAAAATAAGATTTTGGCTTTCTCCCACAAAACCTGTCAAGATTTCAGGAGGAAATGCTAATATGAGAAACTATATATTTACAGCCAAAGAGAAAATTCAGTATTTTGTATTTGGCAATAAAGCAAATTAAAAAATATGAAAGAAGAAAACGTTTATCTAAAATAATTCTAAATCCAATATGTCTTCTTGTGAAACCCTATGCCTCTGCACAAATTCTCCCTCTACTTTGGTTTGTTCCATTAAAACATACAGCTTCTTAGTAAACATAAAAATATAAAATGTGTTTTCTGAACTGCCTCTTCATTTAGAGCAAAATTATGAAGCAAATATCCAGGTCTCTGTTAAGATATGTGGATATGCAATTTTATTTGTAAATTTTTTGTAAACATTCTGTTAACTTTTTGTTTGGGCATATTTTTCTATGAGAGAAACAAATATATATTTACTTTTACATCCCTTACTTGCAGACTTACAGATTTTTGGTACAGATATGAATATTTTATAAGAGGTGTCTTTTTGTGTATTAGGTTATTAAAACATGGTAAAGTCATTGCATCTCTTTTTACGTGTTTACACTTAGTTAAAAATTAGCCCTTGAAGCAGGAAATAAATCAAATATGCCCAGCAAAAATGAAAATTCATTCTTTGAGTATTGTTTTTCCTTACTAATATTGCATAATATTCTATTTCCTGTTCTCCACCACAAAATGAGTTACCAGAAAATCTTATGATTGTCTTCTACCTATGATTCTGTTACTTTCATTTTGTTTTCCTAATAATTTCCTTCTTATGAGTCGAATATTGTTATTGTTTGTCTTGTTTCTTGTTTGTGTTTTTTCACATGGTTTTCAAATTGAGGAAGAGGAAAAAAGAAACTCTAATTTATTAGAAATATTTCTCACTTATTCTCTGCTGCCATACTGGACCTCAGCTTTTCTATGTAATGTTGGCTCACAGCATGTTGCTGCCTGTAGTGCAGGACAAAAAAGTCTTACTCCTATAATGCCAGAAACTGGCCATACTGACAATCACAATACATTACATGGTAGTAATCCAACAATGAAGTTATCGGAGCTTGATTAATTAATCTAAACGTAATTTGTTTGTTCACACCCAGAACTTCAGCTGCTACATTTGGTCCTAATGGAAAAGAAAAAAAACCCTAGAGCTGAATACTAATGTCATAGGACCGCCGTTCCTAGAGAATTTCATTCAACAACTTTATTGGGTCTTAAACTGTAGAGGGGGTAGCACAATGGAACTTTGTAGTAGTACCTGTTAAACCAGCAGTTGTGGAGAAGACTGACATTATCCAAGCTCCATCTTCAGAGATATATCCACAAGAAAACACTGGAATGATATGAAAATGATGTCCACTCCCAGCAGTATAATTCAGAATGGTAGGAATACTGAAGCTGTAACTCCAAACACTCTTGCCTAAAGAATAAATCTAGTCAAACAGTGGAACTTTCTTCTATGTAAACTTGCAAGCATAGTATTGTGAATGTCTCTGAGGTGTTGCAGAGAATCAATAAAGTTGGATTCCTCTTACCTTCTAGACAAGAATGCACAAATTATGATTCCCAAAGGTTGCCACTGAGGTTTTAAAATGTGACATAATAGAAATACAATTAAAGAGGTGGGGAATTACTATATATCTATACTAAATTAATTTAATTTTTGTTTTAACCTGTGTTCTTTTTTTCCTTGTCTTGTTTCCCACCCAGTACACAACAAAAGAACACATAGAGCTCTCCTCCGTGCCCCCCCCCCCCCCCCCCCCCCCCCCC